AAACAAAATTTAGCTATGAGAAAAATTAAGTCATTCCCAAGACCACAATTTATTGACTATTTTCCTTGTCATTTTTTCCTTAATTGTCTTAAATATCATCTTGTAAATAGGAAATATACATCTTGTTAGTCTAAATTAAAAAAGAAGCACAAAAATAGATAAACAAACTAAGAACATGTTTAATTTTTTTTAATTCTAGATACTACGACCATTTTTCATTGAAATACAGTCTTTCAAAAATCACCAATCAATTTAAGAAATTTCTTTGTCCCCTTAATTTTTTGAAATTGTGTATTAAAAGTTTATATAGAATGTTTTGTCGTTTTAAAATATTTGAGATAACAAAACACTATTCTTGACCCATTTGGGTGATATTTCGATTGTTTTAGGGAAATATAATAAAAATAAATAAAAAAATCGTAATTTTATAATATAAAAGAACATTTCTGATTTAAGAAATGTGCTAAAACGCTTGAAGAATACAAATATTTTGCAAAAAGCTGAACAAACATTCGATGATTTTTTATTTGTTTGTGAAATTTTTTGAAGTATGTATTCACTATTTGGCTCTGTTTTTTCCATTTTTTTTTAAATAATAAAAAAACAACATCTGAAATTGACAAAAATCGAGATAATGGGCCGTATGAATAAAGTTAAGTAAATGCTTCTACTTGTAATAGTAAAAGATAGACGTAATTTAAATTTTATAAGGAAAAAAGAGATGAAACAACAGCAAAAGCTTTTGCTACATTTTATTCATACTACTGAATAACAAATCTTTTTTCAAGGCGTTTTTCACTGAAAAGCTTAATTTTGAATCAATTTTAAAAAAGGAAAAAAAAATAGAATAGCATAAACGATTAATTTAATCCATTTTCTCGAAGGGAAAAATAGAATAATAGAAAATTTAAGACATCTTTGACATAAACATTGCAACGTTACTAAAAAAAAAAGATTAGAGTAAATACGAAATTCCAAATATTATTAAGTAATTATTATTTTTTTTCACCTTAATCAAGAGTAATAGGCAATGGAGTAATTTTCGTCTGTGATCAAATATGAATTATCCTGCAATATTATGCAAAAATTGTCCGGTGGAGCTGATTGAATATTTAAAGGAAGTTCAGAGACTGCTTTCCTCGAAAGAGATGAGAAAATCTTGTTATTAAATTATTAAATTACCTTGTTATTCAATATTAAAAATGCTCAAACTGGCAAGAAGGAATCAGGAATCACGTACAGGCCAATTACCAGTAGTCGTTTGCTTAATTATGGCGTGGGAATCGCGATTTATGTTAAAAAGTAATGAGATAATCAATGATTTAATTTAAGTACTTCATTGATAAAAATCTAAGTCCTTTTATTAGCTAGTTCTAAAGTATGAAAAAATGTAAAACTCGAGAAGATTATGTAGGATCAATGCTGGGATGGGCCCGAAAAGGCGATTTGGTGCACTGAATACGCCATTAAACACAAAAGAGTCGAACCTTTAAGAAGTTATTCCATCAAATTTTCATACACTACGAAAATATGAAACTTCTAATTTTATTAACTTGGCGCCAAAAAAGGGAAAAAACAAACTGAGTACTTGAAACACCCAATTGTTACATTCTCTCGATAAAAGCAATTTTCCTTTGAACCAAAGTCCACCAAACAATAGTCTCATTTCCATTAATGAATCTTATCAAATGTCAATCTTCCCATACGACAGATAAAAAATACTGCAAAATATATGTGGACCATGAACAATGCAGTGTCACAAGTGCGACTTTGCATTTCAACCTTTGAACAAATATTGTTATTGCTGAAATTTTAGTATTATTGATTAAAACATAAACAGAATTTAAAAAAATAACAAATTCAAGCAAAAATGAAGAAGCAACAAAACTGTAAAAAGCTTGAATATAAACTTTTTTATAATCCTTTCTTAAGTTATTAAAAAAATAAGTTATTCTCAAAAACACAATTTATTATTGACCTACTTTTCTTATCTTTTTTTTCTTCAATTATTTTC